TGGCCATAAATTGTCAAAACTGAGGAGCGGTCATGCTGAAGCCATGACTATTGTTCATGACCGTTGCTCGTTTTTGGTGTTTTAGGGCCATAAAACAGAAGTCAGGACGATTTTTGAAGTTTTGTGTGTTATAGTCCATGCCATCAGCATGAACTCGGGCGACCGACTCCGAATTGACTAAAGTTTTTTGGGCCCATCAAAAAGTCCTAATGAACAATAATTATCATTTCACCATGCCCGTTCCTTATTTTTGGCATTTTAGGTCCATAAAATAGGAATTCAACACGATTTTATAATTTTCATATGATATAGTCCATGTCATCTACATAAACTCGGAAGACCAGTTCCGAATCGCATAAAATTTTGCGGACCTATAAGAAATGTCCTAATGAACAATAGTCATTACTTCTCCATGACCAATCCTCATTCTTCGGTGATTTAGGGCCATAAAAAAGGAATTCAACACGATTTCTAATTTTTCGCGTGCTAATGTCCATGCCATCTTCATGAATTTGGGAAACCGGCCCCGAATCGCCTAAAATTATGTGGACCCATCTGAAAGAACCTAATGAATGGTAGTCATTGCTTCTCCATGATCATTTCTCATTTTTTGGCTTTTTAGGGTGATGAAACAGGAATTCAACACGATTTCTAATTTTTCGTGTTCTAGTGTCATTGTCATCTTCATCAATTTGAGTGGTCGGCCCCTGAATCGGCTTAAATTTTGTGGTCCCTTCATAAACGACCTAATAAATAATAGACATTGTTTTTCTATGACTGCTCCTCATTTTTCGAAGTTTTAGGGCCATAAAATAGGAATTCGATACGGTTTTCGATTTTTCATGTGCTAATGTCCTTGCTATCTTCATGAATAGATGACCGCTCTGAGTAGTCTAAAATTTTGTGGGCCTATAACAAACGATCTAATGAAACATAGTCATTGCTTCTTCATGACCTTTTCTCCTTTTTTGCTTTAGGTCCATAAAACGGGAATTTAGCATGCTTTTTTTATTTTTAATGTTCTAATGTCCATGCTATCTTCATGAATTCGGGCAATTGACCCCGAATCAGGGGCTTTTGTATCTATACCTAATTTTGAGGTCACAATTGAACCTATATCCACTTTGCAAAAAAGGTTACAAGCCTACCCACTTTAGGATCAACTTCAGACTTATCGGGTTTGAAGTTAAAAGATTGCACTTCAGATGCACTTAAGGCCAAATAGGTATGAAATGCAACCAATGGTTTCATACACTTAAGGCCATTAAGTCTGAAGTAAAAAATTGCACTTGAGATGCATTTAAGGCCAAAAGGCTGAAGTGCAACAAACGTTTTCCTACACTTAAGGTCAATAAGTATGAAGTGAAAAATTGCACTTCAGATATACTTAAAGCCAAATTGGTCTGAATTGCAACTAATATTTTCATGCACTTAAGGCCAATAAGTCTGAAGTGAAAAATTGCACTTCAAATGCACTTAAAACCAAGAGGTCTTAAGTGCAACAAACGTTTTCCCATACTTAAGGCCAATAGGCATGAAGTGCAAATTGCCCAGAAACAGAAATTTATTTTTTGAATTTTAACAATCCAATATATGATTTAATACCTAAATCTACTCCAAATGAGCTCAAATTTGAAACATAACCTCTAAATATCATCAAGAACAAAACTCAATCATCAATTTACCAAAATAACAATAAATCTAACGAAATCATTTTGCAATTATGAAAAAGAAGAAAAAAGAAACTCTAAGCAATAGTAAAAAATAAAGCGCCACAATAGCTCACCACTGTAAAACATCATAAATGACCTTAAAATATATTCATAAACACCACATAAAATCACTATTACAGGAAGAATTAGAATTAGAAGCAGAAGAAGAAGAAAGAGGAGAGAAGGCCTGAAATTGTTTAAACAATGGGTACAAGTTAAATTTTTTTTTGAATTGGGTATAGGTAATTTTTACCCTGCATCGCCAAAAATTATGTGGCCTAATGAACAATAGTCATTGCTTATGCATGACCTTTCCTCATTTTTTGGCGTTTTAGGTCCAAAAAACAGGGATGCAACACAATTTTCGATTTTTCGTGTGCTAATGTCCACGCCATCGTCATGAATATGGGCGACCAACCTTGAATCGCCTAAAATTATGTGGGCCTAACAAAAACAACCTAATAAACAATAGTCATTGCATCTCCGTAATTGTTCCTCGTTTTTGGCATTTTAGGGCCATAAAACATAAATTCAACACGATTTTCGATTTTAAGTGTGTTAATATCCACATTAACTTCATGCATTCGGGCTAAAATTCGTCGGCCGACCTCGAATCATCTAAAATTTTGTGCTAAACCTTAAATATTGAGCTCATCACATTTGAATTTGACATATTAGATCGATTTTGCAAATTAACGAGAAGTAGGGAAGAAGAAAAAGAACAAAATTGAAAGAAAATATTTGCTGCAAAGGTCTCTGCGTGCTGTTAGAAAAAAAATACCTTATTCAAACTGCCTAACAAAAGTAAAAAAGGACAAACGGAACATCATAGAAAAAGTGAACGTACAAGTTGCAGTCATCTTTCTAAAACTAGAAAAAAGAATTGTTACGAAGTAAGTAGTAGTAGTACTTTTGCTGGTACTTAGGGGTAATAACTTAGGGGTAATAGACCATCATGTGGTGCAGTGGATGAGGTTGCTCCTTCTTTAATCAAATGTTTCGAGTTCGAGTTCTGTATATGGAGAAATCATTGGTAGGGAGCGCTAAACCCCCAAATAGGGCCTTACCCGGCGCGAATTCGAATATAGTCAGACTCCAATGCGGGTATCGAACACCGGATGGAAAACCAAAAAAAAGGGGCAATAGGCCTTAGGTTACTGGAATTGAAGTTTATGTATTCAATAATTGTTGTGTTCTCTTCTTCTTGTCTCTGTTACATAAATGGTAAAAGAAATATCCACCTAGCTAGTTTGCTAGCTTATTTCCTTATATTCAATTCAGTTTGCTTTTGAGATTCTCTTTTACGTGCAATATCTACTCTTTAGCAATTCAAGAAAAAAGATACTCCGACTACTTATCAAGTCNGGTGGGGTGTGGGGGGGTCAGTGCCCCGGTAACTTAAGAAAAAATATATGTATATATGTTTACATATCTTAAATAACATGTATTATATTTTTTGATTGGCTACATTGGTTGCAGGGGTGGATTTATAGTTATAATTATGGGGCACGTGAACCCATGGTCTCTCCGTAAAGTTAGATATTTTATGTACGTATTTTCTAAAATTGGCATAATACTAATTGTTGGCACCCATGTTTCAAGAAGGTTGAATGGTGCACTTGGTTGAAGGTTGAGTCATTTACCAAGAGGTATAAGGATCAATCCGCACTAGATATATTATTTTCTCCTTTTTTAGTTGTACACCCATATACTAGAAATTCTAGATCTGCCTCTGATTGGCTGATTTAGCTAGAGGGCACAACTTGACTTTTAATATGTTTCCTGAGTTCGATTCCGACTCCAGCATTTGCTCAAAATTTTATTCGATACTGGTGCTCCCGCCACTTTTAAATCCCGAGTCTACCTTTAACCACAACAGGTTGAATAATATCTTAGAATTCACCTCTGTGAATTAGTAGAACTAAACGTTTTCAGTGATCATCATTATCAGAACATTTCAAGTCACCATTTCCGCTTGTTGTTGTATTAGAATGTCTGTCATTTAGACCATTGAATCAATCAACTTTGACTGTTAAAGTGTCCTACATTAGTTAAGAGAACGAGTTGTTGTTTTCCTATATGATATTGGGCATCTCATCGAATAAGTCCGTTTTTGGAGTTGAGTTAGATTCAAGATCCATCGTTCATATCTTAACATATTATCAAAGTCAAATCCATCTATAATCTTGGTTTACCTAATGCTGGCCCCCATCTTATGCTCCAAATGCTTAGGCTTGTGCTAGGGGAGAGGTGTTAAAATGTCCGACGTTGGTTGAAGGAATGAATTGTTATCTCATTATATGATCTTGGACAATACGTATCACATGAGTTAGCTTTAATTTGAAACTTGAGTTACGTCTAAGATTCATTTTCTTAACATTAACGCTAACTAGCAAAATTGTAGGACTCTCTATAAGTAGTCTCAAGATTTCTAGCTTATGCTAGCTGGAACTAGTAGTAAAGTGATTTACTTAGATGGATTATTGCATGTATTTGTGAAAAATTGTGCACTTTTTCAAGGCATTCGTACCATTTGTAGCACAAAAGGGAGTAGCAAATTGCAAAATGTTTGGATTGAGGCTAAAATATCGTGTGAAAATCTTACCAAAAAGCTATAAGACAACAAATTAAAGGAGTTCACTTGCATCTCGTGTTCATGACATTATTCACATGTGAATCCTCCCCTAACACCAACAATATTGTAAATATGGGACTTTGCTTTCCCCCCGGAAAATGACCCTTCAAATGTTTGATAGAGTTTAAGTTATATGCATTAACGGTATATATAACTTACTTATGGTTGTATAATGTTTATACCAATCGAGTCACGTTTATCAATAGTAACAGGTATAACCTGTCTTATTTAAAAGTTACAAATCTTATAATTTAAGGAGGCTTATTCGTAGATCTCCTTTGATTATTAGATAGGGTAAAAAATAACGATCTATATAACTTACTTATAGTAGATTCTTTCTGCATCCCTAGATCGGTTCCAGACAATTTTTTTTTGTTTGTTTAAAATGAATTATTCTTGAAATAATTTTTCTACTTAGACTAATGAAATATTATTTATAAAAATTTCAAATAAAATGTTTATAACTAATGTGAAAAACAATGCAAATTACCCGATACAAAAATATGTTAAAACACACACGTAATGCTAGAATTATCAATACTACAACCTATTATTGAAAGGGTTAGTTTGGTAAAATCCAAAACAAATTTGTTAGGTCCCATGCAAACGTACGTTATAAATATTTCAAGACAACAACCAGCTGTTTCTTAGCAATGGAGAAGAGACAACAACCACCACCACCACCACCACCATCCCCGCCAGTAAATTGCCGGAAAATAGACATCGAGAGTGGCGGCAGCAGCACGAGACACCCGGTTTATCGCGGTGTCCGAAGGCGGCGATGGGGAAAATGGGTGTCCGAAATTCGTGAACCAAGAAAAAAATCACGCATTTGGTTAGGTTCTTTTTCTTCACCTGAAATGGCCGCTAGAGCATACGACGTCGCTGCATATTGTCTCAAGGGATGTAAAACACAGCTGAATTTCCCCGACGAGATAGAGCGATTACCGCGGCCGATTACTTCAACTGCTAGAGATATTCAAGCAGCAGCAGCAATGGCAGCAAATAATGCAATAATTGTAAAGAAAAAGAATCAAGAAAATTGTGGTAGTGATGATTTTTGGGAAGAAATTGAGCTTCCAGAGTTGAAGGATGGAAATGATTATAATCTTTATTCTGAGGTATGGCAATGGAGATTTTGTAATTATGGGATGTTTTCTAGTGATAATAATACCTTCATTAATGACGATGGAGTTGTGTAACTAACGTACTCCATCGTCTGTCCACTTTTACTTGTCGCGTTTCGTATTTCGAGACTCAATTTGACTAATTTTTTAAGCTAAATTGCATTAGATTCTAATAACATTTTAAAATTAAAATTTAGATATTCATAAACTATATAAAAAGTACTATAATTTGTTATTTTTCTTATACCAGAATGGTGAAAAAATACATATTAAAACGTTGGTCAAAATTTATGTAGTTTGACTCTCAAAAAGTAAAATATGACAAGTAAAAGTGAAAGGATCGGAGGGTGTACAAGTCAGTTGTTTTTGTAAAATTTTCAGTCAATATAGTATGCATTAGGATTTAAGTTATACTCCCTCCGTTCACTTTTAGTTGTCCACTTTTGACTTTGCACTGTATTTAAGAAAAAATAAATAAAGTATATATTTTACTACTTTACCCATAATAATGGTAGCATTTTCAAAATTTTTGGGGAAATGATTTAGAGAATGAGTAATATGATAATAAAAGGGGGAAAAGGATATTTCTCTTGATTTTGTGTATAGTGGACAAGTAAAAATGAAAATATATTTTTAGTATAATGGACAAGTAAAAGTGGACGGAGGGAGTATACACTAATAGAATAAAGAGTTTTCATACTATCATGTGTAATTTAATAACGAGTTGTTATCCTATTTTTCAATTTACGAGATTAGATTTGCTATGAAAAATTTACCTATTGTTATATATCGATTTAACTTGATGATGTAAATATTTTATATATATTGTTAGTGCACAAAGCTTAAACTCGCCGTTGAATATATATGTTTGCATTAGTAATTTCTCTAATTTGTATTTATGTTCAATTAATGGTTGTTCCTGTATAAAGATTTCTAGATGATTCATTTGACTGAAATGTATTAATTCAGGGGAGGGTTTTTTAGTCACTAAACCTTTATATATACTACTGCTTAGTGAATATTTGATAGTAGGATTTTATTCTTGATAATTAATGTCCGTACGTTTAAGGTCTTATCTTCTCCTCTCCCTTGAGTGGTAAGTACTCCTTCATACGTAATTAGAGGTGTCGAGTTCGAGCCCCTGAATATGAAGTCGCCTTTGTTAGGGAGCATTTTACGCCCAATGTGGAACTTCCCAACGCGAATGCGGATTTAGTCGGGCCCCAGTGTGGGTACCGGACGCCGGGTAAGAAACCAAAAATGTAAGAATTGGTTATTAATTTAAGCTATATAAGAATTACATAAGAATGATAGTTTTTTTATATTTGAAAATAATTAATTTTAAGTTACGTAAGTTTTGATGAATAAATTTGATACTTGTAACGATGGAACACTAAACGTACATGCAAACTAATCGGACAGTTACAGAAAAAGGTAATTATGGATTGAGTCTTTTAGCAGTAAAATCTTCTCCTAACTTGGTCAGAGGTGGTAACTATTCTTCAAGATTCAGTAAAGTAGAATTTTTAGTTTAAACTTTCAGGACGAAATTAAAAAATAGCCAAATTTTTAAGTGGTAATTCAAAAATAATCACAGTTTCAAAAATAATCGAAATTTAGTCACTTTTCATGTAAAGATAAATCTGAACAAAAACATTGTTCAAAATCTGAAAATATAATCCAGCATAATATACTGGAGTTCCAGTATAATATATCAGTCCAACATAATATGCTGGAAGTTCATACACATGTGCTTCAATCTCCAGTATATTATGCTGGAACTTTCCGCGTATTGGAGTTCCAGCATAATATGCTGGAAGTTCATACATAGGTGCACCAATCTCCAGTATATTATACTGGAACTCCAGTATATTATGCTGGAACTTTCCGCGTATTGGAGTTCCAGCATAATATGCTGGAAGTTCATACATAGGTGCACCAATCTCCAGTATATTATACTGGAACTTTCCGTGTTTCAGCAAAATAGTAGCTATTTTTCAATGACTTTGCAAACGCCAGCTATTTTTCAATGACCAGTCCGAAAACTGGCTAGCCCGTGCTATTTTGACCACAATAAATACTAACCAATCACTAAATAGCCGCCCTAAAAATGACTATTTGTGTACTTCTGTTCTAAATGGTAGCATATATGTTATTTTTGATTTGGCCCATATTTTACAAAGGCCCAATTGTTGGCTATTTAGCGAAGTAGCCAAATGCCAACACCTGTGGGCTGTCTATCTCGGTGATTTTGACTTTAGTCAAATATTGATTTTACTGTTGAAGTAGAGATAAACAGAATTTTAGCACGTACAACCATCCAACTACAAATTCCATTTTGATATGAAGAATGTGTAATTTCAATTATATAATAATATTAGAACAATGAATTAATCTAGTTCCATTTTTCTTTTCCTTGTGGTTTTTCTATATTTTAAGATTTAAGTAGTTTGAGAATTGAATGTTAATAAATTACTGCAAAAAAAGAGAACAAGAAAAATCAAACCAGAGGGCTAAAGAGAATTATCCCTAGAAATTAAAATTCTATATTATACTTTGTATCTGCAGTTTTGTTTTTTTGTTTTTTTGTTTTTCTTTCTTTAGTTTGAAATTGCATTAGAGGAATTATGGTTTTTTGCTTTTGCTTTTCCCCTTTCTCATGGTTATGTCTTTTCTTTCTTTTTCTTTTTCACTAGTCTTTTCATATTTGAGCAGGTAAAAGTATAAGCAAAAATGTCTATGATCCTGGAGTCAAGTGGAGCTGACATTCCCTAATAATCTAATACTCCCTCCGTTTCAATTTACGTGAACCTATTTTCTTTTTGATCCGTGCAAAAAAGAATGACCCCTTTCCTTATTTGGAAACAATTTACCTTTATGCAATTATTTATAGCCATACAAAATATATGTGTCTTATTTTACACCACAAGTTCAAAAGTCTTCTTTCTTTTCTTAAACTCCGTGCCCAGTCAAATGAGTTCACATAAATTGAAACGGAAGGAGTAAATGCTTTAGAATCCAATGCAGTCTCCAATACACTAAAAAGTCAAAATTTCATTAAAAAAAACAGAAATTGAAAGGGAAAACTATGCGATGCATCAATCATATACACTATATTTAATTACCATTCGTAATTATATTTAAAACAAGAGATTAATTGTTTTGAAATAAAACAAAAGAGCAACAAGCTCTCGTAGTTTAGTTGGTTAGAGCTCTCACTTAGTTAGCATAGGTATTGAGTTTGACTCTCAACAAGAGCATTTTTTCCCTATATTTTTGTATTTCGTCTTGGTTGTGTTCGTTGCGCGAATGAATACAGTCGATACATATTATATCTTTTGTATACATCCTTGTATTTCGCCTTAGTTACAATTGATACATGTTGTATTGTTGTGCGAACGAATACAGTTGATACATATTGTATTCGTTGTACGGACAAATACAGTTGACACATATTTTATTCATTAAGCAAACTACTGTTTAGAGCCACCAAGTTAGGATGGTGGGTATGTAACAAAGAATTGGCAGTGGCACGAGCTCTAATCAAGTGTTAGGGAAGTTTTGTTTCACAACAAGACAAAAACAATGCATACAATAAACTCTACTATAGGGCTGTTCATTTGGATCGGATATCCGAAATCCGAACCGATTCATTCAATTTCGGATTTTGAATTTCGGATTAGATCGGATTTCGGATTGTGTTTATTAAAATTTTGGATTTCGGATCGGATTCGGATTGGTATATTTTAATCCGATCCAATCCGAAATTCGAAATTATTAGGGCATATATAAATACTACACTTTAATTTCGGATAGTCAGTACTTCCTTTACATCAACCTCCAAGTTATTACCTTTACAATTGCTAGATTTAGCTATATTGGCATCATAGTACTCTCATAATTGCATAAACATGAATTTTTTCTTAATGTATTGCCTCTTTTACAAAGAAAATATACATATTAGTTTAACTTTGAGGCATAATAATACGATCTGAAATCCGATCCGATCCAAACTTTAAAATCCGATCCAATTCGATATAATTCGGATCAGATTCGGATTGCATTTTTTAGAATCCGAAATCCGAAATTCGAATCCGAAATGTGCTAAATCCGATCCGATCCGTGCACAGCCCTACTCTACTACGTAATAATAATTTAAGATCACTATTGGTACTCATTATCCATTTCCAAAGCATTTTGAAAGAAACCTATGTGTCGTAATTTCTTATGCTGTTCGATTTATTCCACATTAAAAACATTGGACTAACAGGAGGATATTTATCCTTATCATATCAGCTGAGTAATAATAAAAGGTGAAGATAGTCAATGAGTGGATATCATATTTTAAATACTTTTGAAAGTCTTTAGTCTTTTCCTCACCATTTGCACCTTTATTTCCTTTTCTTTTTTCTATTTTTAATCATCAAGTGTCACTATTCATTGATCCGATTAATTCATATTCCTAGTGCGTAATGTTCATTAAAAAGAAAAATATTTTTTTTCCTAGAAAGTTTTTCATTTTCAACTTTCGAACCTAAAGCTCTAAAGCCAGTGAAGAAATCGCATCCATCCCACCACATCTTACAATAGTCTTTCCTCCTTCCTCTTTATAAAGTGACCAAAAAGTCTGCTCTTTGACCAACAATAATAACAACAACGACCCATAAAAATCTCACTAGTAGGGTTCGGGGAAGGTAGTGTATACGCAGACCTTACTCCTACCCCAAGGAGGTAGAGAAGGTGTTTTCGAAAGACCCTCGACTCAAGAAGACGAAAAGAGACAATATTAGTACCACCAACAGAGACCATATGAATAACAACATCATAAAGACCAGAAAATAGATGAAACGCAAAAGTGATAGCTAGTAAAAAAAACTGACACTATGAAAACGAAAGAGTAGTGAGACACAACATTGACCATGTCTAGCTGTCTAAGACAAAAATCCTATCAGACTAGCCTCACGTAGGTATGAAGTAGAAATAGATTCAACTACCTCCTAACCTACAACCTTAATACTCAACCTTTACAGCTTCCTATCAAGGGTCATATCCTCGGAAATCTGAAGCCTCACCATGTCCCGCCTGATCACCTCTCCCCAATACTTCTTAGGCCGTCCTCTACCTCTTCTTGTGCCTTCCAAAGCCAGCCGCTCACACCTTCTTACCAGAGCATTTGGGTTTTTCTTTTGTACGTGCCCGAACCATCTGAGTCTCACTTCCCGCTTTTTATCATAATGGTAGCCATGCCCACCTGTCTCTCCCACCAACAAAAATAAGAAAAGAAAAAAAAAATCCCTTTTATCTCTTTCTCCATCTTCAAACTATATATAGTACCCCATCCCCACCCCTCCTACCCCCACCAAACCACGAAAGAATCTACAGCCATGGGGTCAGAGGAGCCAAGTTCTAGAGTACCAAAGCTTCTTCAATTTTCAGTACCAGCAAAACAGTCACAAGAACATAAAGAAATGCCAAATTCACCTCTTCACACTTTAGCTTCTGTTCCTTTTCAATGGGAACAAGAACCAGGCAAACCTAATCATCCAAATTCCACTTTCAATATTAAACCTAAATTCTTAGAACCTCCCCCAAGACTTTATATAGAATCTATTAAAACACCATCACCCAATACTGTATTTGATGGACCTTATAATTATAATAATGTCAAGCCTAAGTTTTCCTCTTCTTCCTTCAGGTTCTTGAAAAATAATTATCAAGGAAATTGGTGGCAGAAGATTAGTGTTAAGTGTAAGGGTAATGATACTGCTGATGATAGTACAAGTTCTTCTGTATTTTTATGCTCTATTGATTCAACAGATTCTGGTAATGGTAATTGTGATAATAAAGGCAGAAGTTCAAGTGCAAGAATGGCAAGTTTTAGAAAAAATGGAAGCTTATCCAGTTTCTCTAGCAGGTCTCATATATGGGTAAGTTTTACAAACTCCATTTCACAGTTTTCACTCTCTTGTCTCTGTTACACTTCACAAGATTGATTGAAATATGAACAATATAACAATAACAAATCCAGTATAAACCCATTAAAATACGAATATTAAAGTGAAGAAAATCTTATAGGAGAAGAAGAGGATGTATGTTATATTTAAATATTTTTTACACTATCAATATAGTTAAATTATGATAAAGGGTGTGAAGATTGAGAATTATGGTAGAAGGTTAGTGAAGTAGTCGAACGTTTTTCTGCTAAGCTAGTATTTTATGTTATTTTTTTATTATCTTGCCGTTGTTACTGCTTCTGCTTGTTGCTATTGCTTCCTTCCGCTTATTTTATTTCTAGTCCTTAGATTGCTGGTACTTTCTTTTTGGCCTTTGTGGTTGATACTACTTGTTTTTATTGTTGCTTTTCATCTTCTTGAGCTGACGGTATACCAGAAATAGAAATAGTCTATCTACCTCCTAAGGCAGGGATAAGATCTGCGTTGTACACTGCCCTATTGTTGTTCATTATTGTTGTTATTGTTGTTGTACTATCAATATAGTTAAAATTGAAATGGTAGGTTGATTGCTATTTTTAGTAAATTACTGACTAATGTTTGTCAATAGATTGTCTGTAATTGTTTCATAAATAACTTAATTGTGCGAGTATTTATTATTCGTACATAAAACTTAAACTCGATTGAACAAATGAAAGATAAATAATAAGATTCTAACTAGATGGAAAGTGTAAGTAGGAATGTAGGATAAAGGGTGTCTAATAAGTAACTTGGTCCTACAGGTCTTGACTCAACAAACTTAGTCAAATCAATATGAATATAGTCAAGATCTATACCTTCTTAACGCAAGATCACTTCTAAAATAAGTTTGTTATAAATTGTTAAAAAAAGATTTTCTTTCTCCTTAAATTCTGTTATTCATTTAGTTTTTAGCTAAGAAATTTAATTTATTGCTTATTCTTAATTTAGCAGTAGCATATGTCAGGTTACATAAAACTTAGTCAAAATAAGTTTTATTATGCATTTATATGGTACTAATATAGCGGCTTCTGTTGCTTTTTGAGCCGAGGGTCTCCTGGAAACAGCCTCTCTACCCTTCGGGGTAGGGGTAAGGTCTGCGTACATATTATCCTCCCAGACCCCACTTGTGGGATTATACTGAGTTGTTGTTGTTGTATATGTCAGGTTACACTTTATTAACCGAAAGTTTTGACAGGTCAAATTGATCAATACTCCCAACCTTTAATTACATTTATTTTGTTTGTTATCAATAGCCCAAATTATCAAACTTTCAACAAATTGTGGTAGCTACATAAATATGAGCACATGGGTAAGACTCCCTAATAATATGGGGCAGTTGAATTGAAGAAGATGGCTATGGAACTAAGAGCTAAACCTACTATTTCCTTTTAGCCAAGGATATATGCATATACATATCAAGATTGTCTTTAGCAATTTATAAGCATGAATAGGGTTGAAAGATAGGTGTTGGCTCACCTATAGGTTGCTCAATTTCTATCCATAAGGAAGATATGGGTCTGCTGATTTATGATATTTTGATAAGGATTGTGATATGTGGTAGAAATGACACCAAGTAGCCACTCTAAAGGGTTGCTATTAAGACTTAGCCAATGTGTCCTGAATTTCAGTTTTCCAGTTCAATTTTTCGGGACAAAATTGACCTGAATTGAGGATTTTTAGTTCAAATTTTCACAACAAAATAAGTACTGGGTAATTTATAAATAGCAGCCCTAAGAATGACTGTTTGTGCGCTTTCCTGGAATATGTGCCTACAATCGAGCGGTGTGGTGGATTGGTCGGGAATCATGTATTCTTAAAAAGATGTTTCGGGATCAAATCCTATGAATGGAGAACCTTTTTAAAGAGAGCATTAGTCAGGCTAGCGAAGTTACTTCCTTTAGTCCAGCACGAACCTAAATTAGTCAGACTCAAATCCTATGAATGGAGAACCTTTTTAAAGAGAGCATTTTACTAAAGTTACTCTCCTCAATTTAGTGCGAACCTAGATTAGTCAGACTAGCGAAGTTACTTCCTTTAGTCTAGCGCGAACCTAGATTAGTCAGACTCAAACTCTATGAATGGAGAACCTTTTTAAAGAAAGCATTTTACTAAGTTACTCCCCTTAATTTAGTGCGAACCTAGATTAGTCAGACTAGCGAAATTACTTCCTTTAGTCTAGTGCGAACTTAGATTAGTCAGACTCACGAGTTTCAAGTAATTAAAGGTTAAAAAGAGAGAGAAAAGAAAAGGAGTAACTCCTTGGGCATATTCTTTGTCTAACATTTCCCCACATCACCATCCAAATCTAAGTCATGTCAGAAATCATATGCGTGATGTGTTGAGTTTGATCATTAAAACGCTACGGTCTCTGTTGTTCCATCAGCATTTACAAAACCAGAAATCATATGCGTTATCTGCTGAGTTGGATCATTGAAACGTTATGGTCTCTGACCTCGACTAATTCCATATCAGTGGGTGTCTACCAACTACGGGTACAAAGGAAACCGATAAACCGCACCAACCCGATAATCCGAGTCAAACCGAGAAAAAAAAATCCAACTATAGTTTGATTTGATTTGGTTTGGTATTGGAAATAAAACCGACCATAAATGGTTTGGTTTGGTTTTAACTAAAGAAAGTCAAACCGAAACCAAACCAACCCGACATTACATATATAAATTTTTTAGATATATTTAATATATAAATATACTTATTGTGATGTAATTTATAAATATTTCTTAAAAATTTTCATAATTTTATCTTTTAAGGTATTATTTCAAGGTTGGATTTAGAACTTTTGAATGTTCCCATAAGTTTTATAGCCATTAATATTAGTAAATTAAATAATGCTAACAAAAGCCCAAAACCAAAATCAAATCAATACTAATGCTAACAAAAGTCATTCAATTCAATACTACAAATGAGAATGTATTGAATATCTATTTTTTGTTTGGTAATAATTTAGATAAAAATGCATATCTTATTTTAATTTTTTCTTTAGCGTTTAGTCATGTAATTAATAATCCCTTATTAGTCTACTTATTTTAGCATGACTTAGTACTTTTAGATTATGCTTATTTTTATTATGGCTTTTTAATTAGCAATATTCATATTACATAATTTTATTATCTTTATTGTAGAATATTTTAGGATAATGCCATGACACATCTCATATTTCGTATTATTTTCTTGAAAAATACTTTATATAGTTGTATTTTACTGGGATTAAAGAAATATTTTGAGCATAATTTATATGTTTTGTTCTACAAAGATTTTTATCGGGAAAAAACCCCGAAAAAACCCGAAAACCCGAGAGTGAAAAACCCGAGTTTTATTGGTTTGGTCTTTAGATTTAATAACCCGACACAATTAGTTTGGTTTGGTAATTGTAAAATCCGAACCAACCCGACCTACGTACACCCCTACTACCAACAATATTTAAATGGAGGGCGAGAGGGTTGCACGCATGCTCTATACTTTTCGCCAGCTTTCCCTCTAGTAAAACATTACTGCCTACTAAAGCTTCGACAGATAAGAAAAAATCACTTAGTACTTTTGTCTAGACTACGATTTGAACCGGAAATCTTATGACCTGCTTCATTAACCACTAGGTAAATGCCCTGCTCCATCAACATTTACAAAACCTGTTTTTCTTCTTCTTCTGAATACCTATAAAGTAGCATCGTTGAGAGATCATGTGCTGGAATTTTTGGTTCTCCTCTTTTCTGTTTTATTTTGTTTTCCTTTTTTAACTTCATTCTTATCGACAAAATTACACAGGCAGCAATATACGAGGGTTTCAAGCAGATCATACCAAGGAAGAATAGCAAATCAAAGAAGGAAGATCACATCGCATAACTTTCAACTCAAACATGTCATTTTGATCTTATGGAAATTTGTTAGTTGATGTTCGTTTAGTATTACTAGAATCCTTGTAAATTATATTTCAAGTACGATCCATGGTATTTGCAGAGTATATTTTAAGTACAATCAATGGTATTTGCAAATTATATTTCAACTTAAATTTGAAATAATGTACTTGCACGAGCCGAATTCCCGGAGAAAGAGAGTAAATAGAAGCAACTCAAATAGTGAAAAGCCTCTTACAGGCATTGACTGGGTAATTAGTGAAGGCAATTTCTCATTCAAACGAGCTCGAATACAAATTTTTTTAATAGTTATCCACAAATGAAGATCTTATTTCCATTTTTATCAGAATGAACAAAGAGAGGTGTAACTAACACTTGAAATACAAACCTGACCGGCATGTTATTCTTGTTTTTTACCAGTCACACCAGCAACCACCTGCAAAACATGGAAAGAGAAGACTTCTGTTCAAGTATAAAGTAGACACCCCATCTTCTACTTAAATGTCGAATTGGACGGCAATTAAGGTAATTTTAGAAATCCAGACGTGACCCTTTAAATAGATTCCACATGTTTCACCTCATAATCCTGTTCAGAGTCTTTGGAATGTTATATGCAGCTAACTCAAGAGGTCTATTTTATTGGCCAAAGAGATGCAAACTATCTAGAATGAGTTGGTTGATTGACAAACAAAGACTACCAGTCCTAACAGTTTACAACTCAAGTCTTAAATTAAGAGTGGCACAAAAGGAAAAAACTATAAAATGGAGGACATTGAAAAGAAAAACAAATATGAAAGACATGATTTTTAGCGACCACCGAATCCTTATAGCATGTAGAGACTGGCATAACCTGATAAAAATTGCCTTACTGCATAAAAGACTACAATGATTGCGTCCTTATTACCCATAAAAAAAGATTACAATCATTATGCGTAACCAAGAGGGACATAAACTGAAATACCATAACTAGCCAGCTGAAAATGACAATGAAACTGAGAAAAAGAGGAAATAACCAGGAGAGTTGCACTTGAACCAGTAGGCACAGATTAACTCACATCACTTAGAGCAGGTTGAGGGACTTGCTTTGATGATTCAAAAGAATCAAGCATTGGCCTTACAACCGCAGGAAGGAAAAGGCCTGAAAGTTGAAATTACAATAAATGTAAGACCAACTAATTCACAGACATGTCAAAGCAAAATTCAGGCAGAAGAGACGAGGAGGTGCATTTCAAAGACAATATCAAACTTGCACTTCAACAGTATTTAATTAGTTTCACTCATTCATCCAGTGTTTTGGATAGCGTGCGGCGACAAATAGCGACGAGGGCCCGCTTCACTGAGGCGAGAGGCGCGCAGCGAAGCGCTCGCCTTTTTTATGTGAAGCGACAATTTATACAAAAACATAAAATATTATATACATATAACTAAAAACTCAATATCAAGTCAATGCAATTAATTCTACTATATAAAGAAGACAAAAAAATAGAGCAAAAAAAAAATGATTCTGCCTTTGGAAACACTGTCTCTGGAAAAAAACAGCAAAGAAAAAAAGACAAAAAAAAAAAACAGAGCAAAACAAAAAATTGATTCTGCCTTTGGAGACAGCAAAGAAAAAAGAACAAAAATGAAATTTTTGCCTCTAGAAAAGCAGCAACTAAAGAAGAAGACAACACAGAGCAAAAAAAAAGATAAAGAGAAGAAGAAAAGCCTCAGTTTTTGCTCGACAAAAACAGCACAAATACAGACCCTATTTGGCTCTGTTTCTATCGACAAAAAACAGAAGAAACAAAATAGAAAGAAGAAGAGAAGAAAGAAGAAAGAAGAAAGAAGAAGAAGAAGAAAAAGAAGAAGAAGCAGCATACCTCTGTTTTTTCGCTATTGAAGCTTGAAGAAGATGAAGCCAGATGACGAAGAAGAAGACTGAAGAAGACCGTTGGTTTGTTCGCAGGTGAAAAGCCCTAATCGCTGAAGTTTTTTTGTTCGCGGGTGAAAAGATCGAAGCCCTAATTCCTGACTTAAGTCTTCTCCCTTTCTCTTTTTTTTTTTATAAAAAAATAGCGATGCTACAGTCGCGACTCGCGACACTGTCGCCTCACGCAACACACCCTGAAGCGAGCGCTATTTGGAATCGCAACGCAACAGATGCTCTGAAGTGACACACCCTCGCCTCGCCTCGCCTCACGCTATTAGCGCTGAGGTGAGCGCTATTTATAACACTGCATTCATCATCCCTGTTGACCAACTTCTTGAATAGGTCATAAGGAATCAACCTATCACTAAGCATGTTAGACTACTGTGCAACAAGGTCATATGCATTGCGCCATTGCCTCCCTAGGAATGGGTTTGAAACTGGGTGACGTAAATTAAGATATTATGAAAAGAGATCCTAAGTGGTAATCTTCCAAATGCAGATTTTATACATAATAAGTTAATGGATTTAAAGGTCAATTTGCCGAAACCCGGAACTTATATGGGAGAGGAATCTAAACAAGCCCAGGATTCAAATAAAGAAAAAAATGAGTGACATGTTGAAAAGACATGAGTAACAAATGGTCTCACAAATCAGAACTCTCCAAAGCTTCCCATGTAAGGCTTGACCTAATAGCCTGTAACACACAGGAAAATAATCCACTAAGCACTATTGACACCAATAAGACCGAGGCTCCCAAAGAGAGCAAAATCTAGAGTCTGTTGTGTGTGGAGTCAATATCTCTGTTGTAGAGGAGACAAAAGAAAACAGAAGAGCTTCCACAATAAACTCTAAGTGCAAGGTAAATGGCTAAATAGTTGCACAAATGTACATCACTAATCTCTTGTCACAGTACCACTGTTTTTAAACCCCCCGGGTCAGCTAGATATGGTAAGACCAAATTCAGCCTCAAACAAAACCAAATTATGGACATCGTTGCACTTGATGGAAATTGTTTACTGGATAATCCATTTTATTTTGGATTGGAAGTCGTTCAAACATGAGACAAGATAATTTAAATAAGTACGGCTACCCGCCCCCAAACAAACCCCTTCTGTATCATAACACATGAGGAACCTCTCGATCTATAATTAGTGCACTCTGGGTTTAGATAATTGATGGGCGCGCACATACAATTTGTGTATTTTTATCTTTTTTTGACAATTACACAGCAGTATAAATTAGATGCTAAATGTAGACTATTCGCAACTAAGATAGATCAAGGCATGTATTATCTCTACTAATCTTCATGCCTCTCTAGGAGTCACCCTCTAAATTCTCTCTATATGCAGCGGGTAGACGAGACCAAATGCACCAGTGGATTCACTGCATGTAGTCCGAGCATTGAGTCGAACTCAGCCGAGCTTATTACAGTACAGAGTCATGCCGAGCTACAGTACCAAGCCGAGCCTGAGCTCGAACGAATGCTTTAATCTTTACTTCTTCCTATAGTGCTAAGCCTTTAGGAAAAAATAAATTCATAATAAATTGATTGATATTCAAATGAGATTGAACAAAATCAATTATAAGTCTAAATTTGAATTAAATCTATGTACATTAGTGAAGCTCTAATCTAAAAAGAATTAGTAAGCCGGACAAATGGAAAGGACAGTTAATTTTAAAAGCAAAAAAAAAAAAAAAAAATCTTTAACTAAATTACATGATTCAAAGAGCTAATTTGAGCAGATAATTCGAGATTTTGCAAAATTAAAGAGCAAAATCTAAAATTTTAAGATATTAGAAGGTTACCGAAACCGGCGATGAGACAAGAAGCAGCTACCACAGGCTCTTGGACTACGAACATTTTCAATTTCTCCATTACCGGCATCTTTCTTCTTCTCCGACTACTTTCCTCTGTAGGTTTCTTCAATTCCTGAGATCAAATGCCTGGAGAAGATTTTAGGAAACGGGTTGGATTTAGTGATGTGATCTTGATTATGATCAAAATAATGACCCGGCCCATAATGTTGAAACTTGGCCCATATTCTTTGTTCCATGGACGGCCCATCCTGATTGCTAACATTAGCATCTTTTCGGGGAAGTGCATAGTTAACCACTAATAACACATGTATTTACTTTTAAGTCACTGTTTAAAATGTCTTTAGTCTTTAGCTACTGCTGTAATAAACTTTACCTACCCGGACGAAAACACCCTTCTGCTCATAAAGTTCAAGACCAAGTGTCGTTAACTTTTGAACTTGTAACTCTAGGTTCAGGACTTCAGGACTACATCTCGTTAACTTTTGAACTTGAAACTCGAAGATCAAAGCCACCTGTCCTTAATTTATGTGCTTGTAACTCTACGTTAAGGACTACTTGTCCTTACTTTTGAACTTGTAAGTCTAAGTTCAGGACCTATTGTCCTTAACTTTTGGGCTTCTTAGCCTAAGTTCAGGACATATTGTCCTTAACTTTTGAGCCTGTAACTGCAAGTTCAAGACCTATTGTCCTTAACTTTTGAGCTTGTTAGTCTAAGTTCAGGACCTATTGTCCTTAACTTTTGAGCTTGTTAGTCTAAGTTCAGGACCTATTGTCCTTAACTTTTGGGCTTCTTAGCCTAAGTTTAGGACTTATTGTCCTTAACCTTTTAGCTTGTTAGTCTAAGTTCAGGACTTCAGGACCTATTGTCCTTAACTTTTGAACTTATAACTGTAAGTTCAGTACCTATTGTCCTTAACTTTTTAAGCTTGTTAGCTAACTTTTAAACTTGTAACTCTATATTCAGGACCAAGTGTCCTTAACTTTTGATACTCAGTAAAAATGCAGTACCCGCCACGTCGTCAACTTCCTTAAATCTTTCACTCTCTTTCATAACTCCTGCTATCTATATCTTTATTAATTAAAGCGTTAACCCATGTTATGGAGTATGTATAATAGAAATACCAACGGAATTTTCAGAATTGCATGAAAACAAAAATGGAGAATTGATAGGATGTTTTCTTGTCGGTATTTCTAATTGAAACTTTTCAATTTTTGTGATACACTGCAAAGTGATAAGTCATCTCTATCTCAAGAAACTATCTCACTTAATATTGGAGATAAAGTTGTTGTCTTCTTGATTTATCAACATGCAGAATTAACTAATTCCCTGCTGGTAATGGGTAAAAATTATAGGGAATTGGATAAAACCAGCTTCTGCAAATAAATGGTGAAAACAAGAAGAAAAGACCAGACTCAACGGCAACTAGTTGCACAATTTCTCATTTTGAATTCTGATCATTTTACTACTAGTACTATTGCGATTATCAATTTCCCGAATTAAACAGTTATAGAGTAGAGAAACAAACGGAATGGAAAACGGAAAAGTAGAGAACGGAGGAGTTTGCTCATCGAAAACTGTTATCGGCGACACAATTCTTCTCCCTAACACATAAAAGTGATAGAAGAAAGGGTAACACAATCTTTTCATATTAATTTTAATAGACTAGTGGCTAGTATTGCTAAGCATTAAAAATATTGAATAAAAAGTAAATACCACTTTAAAAAGTGGCTACTCCACACAACTTTTACGCATCTTTTTTTCGCACGATTTGCACAAGACACCATTTAAATTTTGACCTTGTTAAAGAAAAATTTGGGAAAATAGCCCTATCAGAATTTTGAAACACTTATTTAAAATTTTAAAGCATACTGTCAGAATTCTTGGTGCTTCAAAAGAATTGGAAAACCTACATAGTATAGTCACTCCCAAAAATAATAGCCGGCAAAATATATATTTTTATATATTAATGTATAATATACATGTTATATACATATTCTTATATATTTAGCTAGTAGATGTAATTATTTTTGGTTGATCGGCCAAATGTGTAACTTGCCCATAAAAATTATTGGGCGAAGCTATTTTCTCTAATTATTTTTTTAGCGGAGTCAAAATATTAATAGTAATTCGAAAAAGGTCCATCCAGCATAATTTTACCTCATTTTTTTATTATTATTAATTTTCTATTTGTTATTCTTTTACGTGGTATCTAGAAAAGATCCTTGGTAAATCGTAACTATCCAAGTGGAGTGAAATTTTGTCATCAAACTAGTTAACCTAAAGTTTAACAAAAGTCATTATCTTTTTATTTAATATTTCCTTATTCAAAATTTATTATATCATTAGTCAAATTAATGAGCTAACTTCGACCCACAACAAACTGCATGATACTAAAAATTCATGTGATTAATTTAAGGAATTTTTACATTCCTATACACTATATGAAACTATATTATCCTCCCTACTTAAGTTTTACTATAATTACATTATATATATACCCAATTACCATTTATGTATATTTTAAGGGAATTAATGATAATAATTAGTGTCCTAAAATTATTCTAACATATTTTCCACTCTCCCACGTTTCTCTCTCCACATCCCACCCTCCTTCCCACGTATCTTGCATAAGAGAGCAGCAATTCCACCATTAACAACCATTAAAAAGCTTTGAAGCACAGATACATTCGTCGTTTTGGCGGGTGGTGCTGATGATGAGGTTCTTTGCGGTGAAGGCTGGGCTTGAGTTTATGCTTAACCATCTCATCAGGCTATACCGGCCCTTTCATCACCAGGGCCTGCTAACCCTGAGGTGTCGTTCGTCCATGCCTTTTGTAATTGATGACGAAAAGGACGGGGGTCGAGAGTGGTACGGTTGGTTTATCCGGGTTCGGACGATCAACATTATCCCCGTGGAGCTTTTGCCATTTCCCGAATGGTGGAATTATGCACGTGAGTGGAGCGTCTGGTGCTTTTTCAGATTTTGCTTATAGCGAAAATCAGTTGAGTAATAGCGTCGTCTCCCTTGTTGCAACAACTTCATGGACCCTGGGCGAAGTCCTTGACCTGCCCGGCTAGGTCCGGAGGCTAGTAACCCATTCGTCCTGCGATGAGCGTCGGTGGCGAGCTGTATTCCGTGCCAGATGGGGAGCGAAATACCAAGGTATGTGCGCACGCTGCCTTTGCCTTCGTATATTTGAGGTAACGATTTCCCCTTACATTTGTACTAGATTCGCCTCTTGCAGATACCGGGTGGTTCCTTGGGATGAGGCAATGCTCTTCCAAAGAGGGGAAGGAGTCGTCGGCCTCCAAGCCGAGGGAAAATGGCAATAAGAGGGATCGACACCCGCGGTGTGATGGAGCTTTTAGTGGTGTAGATCGGGCCCGTGTTTCCGAGGAGAGGGCATCGTCCGAGTATGCTACTCCCGAAGTACCTGGTTTTCAGTCGGTGGTTCTTTTTAGTGAATATGTTGTGCCCGAGGTAGGTTATCCTGGGGCCGAAGAGGCAGGATCAACAAGAATGTGTTCTGACTTCGAAGAAGTCTGTCGGCTTCACTTTGTTGTGAGTTTAGGCGTAGTTACCTTGTATTCTGTGTCCTCCTCCCTCTATTGAACTTTCCTTGTGCAGGCCTGTGATAGGCTTATGTCTGAGCTGCTCCATCAAGGGGCTAGGCTTCAGAAAATTCTGGACGAGGGCGAGTCCCTTAGGCTCCTTAGCGAGGAGAAGGAGGTTGAGTTGCAGCATTGGCGATATGAGGCATAACGGAGCTCGAATTACGAGAGCTATTTCACATAGCAGGTAACTTTATGCAACTCGTGCTTTGCTCCCTTTAGACCTTAAGGTTAACCCCTTTTTTGTTATATTAGCTACAAAAAAGGACAGAGGCCTTGGAGTACCTCAAGGGCGACGTCGACCGCGTCAGAACTGCCTGTGGTGAGCTAAGGGCTCAGGTGCAAGCTCAAGCTTTAAAGGAGGCAGACACCTCGGCCAAGGTCCCCACCTTCAAAGCCCAACTCTGCTTGGCTCGTGATAATGCCAAAGTTCAAGCAGATATGATCGAGAAACTTGAATCTGATCTCTCGAAGAACAAGGCTGAGATAATTAATGTCCGGGCTGAAGCGGCGCTAAGCAGAACCAAGGCTGATTAGGAAATGGCAATTTGTATGATAGATACTACAGACGCTCAAACCGAGCTAAAGCGAGCCCTCGACCAGGAGAAAAGGATCGAGGAATATGTTCGTTGCAGATCCCGAAGAGAAGTACTCGAGGAGATTGATGTGAGGGGCTTCGTTCTCTAATAGGAATTGGCTCGAGCAAGGGTGGACGAGCGTGACGTGCGGTCACTTCTTGCTGACGAGGTGAAGAGCGAACCCGGCAAGCTATAGCCTTTTGGAGCGGAGAGTAGATTTTGCCATTTTGTCGCTTTTTTTTATATATGTAGAGCATGTCTGTAGATGTAGATAGAGAGTGCGCCTTTTTTTGCGTATGTAATATAAGATGAAACTTGTAGCTTTATTTCTTCTGCATCTCTCTTTATTATTACTTTTGACCAGGTAAGCTAGTTTCGGTGTTTGGCGGGATCCTCATAGGTCCGGAACTAATCGGACAGGCTGGGGGGCTCTAAAGTGCGATCCTCAACGTGAGCAGGTGCTGGGGACTCCGTGCTTTGCCCGGCTATTTAGGCTTAGTCTCCGAGTTAGGCTTCGACTCGGGCCTTCTTGCCCTTAAATCATCTATGCCCGTGCGGGCAGGTAGTAATTATTCGCATTTTTTGCCCTTGGGCATTTTCCGTTTAGACTATTTTGGGTCCAGTCTCCGAGTCACGTTACGATTCGAGCTTTAATTGACTCTCGAGTTCTTTCCTGCCAGCATGGGCGGACGGCGATGGCCTTTTGTGCTTCGGATCGAAGTGACCTTACAGTGGGTGGCTCGGAGGCTCACTCGGCTGGTTGACAGTGGCATTTATGCCGTGCCCTAAGGCATATTGTAGTTTAGCCATTTCGGGTCCAGTCTCCGAGTCGCATTACGATTCGAGTTTTAATTGACCATTAAGTATTTTGCTGCTTGTATAGGCGGATGGTGATGGCCTTTTATGCTTCGAGTCGATGTAACCTTATAGGTGGGTGGCCCGGAGGCTTACTCGGCTAGTTGA